TCCGTTAACGTGCAAGTTCTGATCAAAATTTCATACTTAATATTTATTATTTAATTAATATTTCATACAATATTAATTAATATTTCATACAATATTTTTTGTCAGCAAAGTACAACATATATTGTTACAAGTAATAATGAGAAAACTTGAATATTAGTTTTTGCAGAGTTTAAAAGTTAAAAAGGTGTATTGACAATATATGAGGGAAACCGGGGCTGGTTGGCACTAAGGTTGCTACTTTGACCACGTACTAGCTAGCCCTAGCGTTGCTATCAGTGCAACGATGGTGTAACCACGATCTCAAATGTGCTCTAGAGCCGGAAGAGTAATACTTTCCTAATTTCTATGATATTCTGTAGCCAATGTAAGTCTGTTCTGGAATACAAAATGGTGATAAATTGGTTATATTTATTTGTGTCCATAAAATACTGAAAAGTATGTCATTGATTTAATCCTGTACATAAGTGTGTCAAACGTTCCCTCAAATCTGATTGGTTGGCACACCTCGTCTTGGTTACGTTTTATAACTACACAAGTTCACCAATCAAATATTCACAAGTAAAAACAATCATAAGGAACAATAAAACTTGGCAAAACTAAACGGCACATGCGAAAACAATTCTATCTACTCATTGGTGCTAACCAGACCCTGTCTCTTATACTAAATAATTAAACGTTAAAGATGAGAAGGATAAACTAATAACTCACATTTTGTTGAAAAACAAGATTTCCGCGGAATTATTGCAATAGGAACGAGAATTAAGACAATAACATAACGAGAATTAATATATAACAAGCTATCACAACTGCCCTTTATTCGCAGAAATAAACACACATTTATAAGGCATATCCCTGTCATTTTCACCGGAGAAATCACGTGTTTCTCGCTGTCAATTTCTCAGTGGGCACCTTTGTTTCTCAGAAAGATCTTTTGTGGATCAAAAATCTGCAAGTATTCAACAATTTTGAAATACATTCTTTAAAACGCGTTTTGCATGCAATATGAATTATGTTCACTTTACTTATTCCCCTCGGTGCACTTCCATTTGCGCTGCAAGGGATGAAAAGGGATACATTAGTAGAGTAAGTAAAATAAGTAAGTAAAATAATGAACATTTTACAGTATATTATTCATCTACAAAATGTGAATCTAAATGGTTTGAAGTGATTTTCGTTGTATAGTGGAAAAATCACAAATTTAACTACTGGGGAATATAATTCCACTACTTTCTCGTAGAATATTAAACGGTTTTGTATAATGCTAATTAATCAATTCACTGTAAATGAAGTCATTTTCAATTTTTGAAATTTCAAAGGTTTTAATGAAATAGGACCTGTGCCATTCTTATAAGCGTACTTCACTCTATTCAAGACATCTAAAAGAAATAAAGTAAATGAAAAGCCATTTTGGGGAAAAATTAAAACAACATAAAAGATTCATGTAAAGTACGTCCTAAAAATTAGAAAAACGTTTCTTATTAGTATGGTTTTGAGTCGGTGTAGGTCAATTGAGGAATATTCATTGTGAGGAAATACTGTACGGTTTAAGTGACATAGTTGTTCACAGGTGGCTAGATACGTTTTGAAAAAATATATTTTGGTATCAGAGACCCCCAAAACACTCCTGTAATATATTTCCGGTTATATCTCGATATCGATTTTTTTAAGCATTATATAATATTTTCTCTATTACGTGTTAGGAGAAAATAAAACCCACCAGCGTGCGATGTTCATAGGACTTCACTTATACCTCCGAATTCAAATGATTAATTAAGGAGTTGTGGGGAAGAACATATAGCCCACTAAAACATGTTTTGATGTCACAACCCGTGCTTTCACAATTAATAATGAAACTTCATCTTATGTTATTTTAAGAATCTCTTGACAAAATTCTATCCTGCAAAATTATCCCAATTTTAAAAATGATTGCACCAGAAATTTCTCAAACCTTCGTCATTATTTTCAACATTCATTAATAGTTGCTTATTATGTTTTTGTTCGCAACTCCTCGATTGTGTGTTTTCGGTTTTTTATATTCTAACTTCAACCTGAGGGGCCCGGTGTTGCGAAGAGAGAGAGACAGAGAGAGAGACAGAGAGCGAGACAGAGAGAGAGACAGAGAGAGATAGAGAGAGACAGAGAGAGACAGAGAGAGACAGAGAGAGAGAGAGGCAGAGAGAGGCAGAGAGAGACAGAGTATCAGGGAGAGGGAGAGAGAGAGAGAAGGGAGGTGCGATCGCGAGCTATTCGTGCCTCATTGTGTAGTGCATTTCTCCGGCGTAAGCCTGAGGAGTAACCTGGATATGATTGACTAGGGCAATGGCAACGAGAGTGATTCCGGGAGGTACTACAAACGCAATAATATTAAAGATATCCAGCAAATTTCTGGCCCTCTCCGAAATCGTACTTGCGACCTGCAGAACTTTCATCTGTGGGTTACATTTACGCCCTTCGATTTAATTACTGCAAAACCAGATGCGCATTTAATTTATACACTATGCCAAATCAGTTGATTTCGTTATTTCAATTCAAAATATCGAATTGTATTTAATTCTTGGCTATCTTCCTCCCGCTTGTCCGCTTGTTGGCAATTTTCGTATGAGATAATTTAGCAAATATACACGTTAGCAAAGATGGAAATATGGATCTCTAATCACTTTGAACATTATTATCTAAAGTCCCCTAGGTGTTTTCATTTAACATTTGGATTTGGATATTTCTATTGTAAAACCAAACGCTGCTACAAGATCGAAAAAGTATTAGTAATAATTATTTTCTGAAGTTGTTCATATTTTGGTAACACTCCATTCCCAAAGCTGACTGAAAAACAAAAATAAAACTACAACTTGCGGTTCTCTAGTGTACTTTCATAGACTACTTATAAAAATTTTTTTTTAAGTTCTGTAAACTCCGAAACACAACCCAAGTATCTGGTCGCATATTAAAATAACAAATAGAATTACCAAACAACTTCATGGGGTGGACTATATGGCGTCTTCAACAATCTAGGGAAATTTACCTATTCTCAGCCATAATTACTATAATACTATTCGAATTGCAAAAGAATGTGGAAAATATATTTTCGGTGTGGTAAAAAAGCTTACATATTTACTCGCAGATCGGCAACTTCTAGTAAAAAACTAGTTCTACGACGTTTCAAAACAGCCTGTGGGGTAAGATATCTCTCCCGCCATCCCAGGACCGCAGCCCTTTGAACTGTTAGCATAGGGCCACGCGTCTTGGCCTCTACGTTCTTCGAATATATCATATTTCAATTCGAACATTTAAAATATCCCTGAAATGAAATTTGAAACGAATGGTTATGGGAAGCACTTACTTTTACAGTCAGAGATTACACATTAATTATCCCAGTTTGAATGAACGTATTAGAATTTCTGCGTACATTTTTGTAATACATTCTCTTCCAAATTCAGAAAGGAAACTTGACGGAAAAACTTATTCAAATGCACACAGATTAGAATAATTTAATTAATCATTGCAATGACGTTTACTTAACAATGTCTTAGAAAACCTTTTACAATATTTGGTTATTGTTGTCGTGTTCTCTTGTAAATTGCTTTTTCAAAGATTACAGTTTTATTATTTTAAAATACGAAGTTCGATATATTAGTCGTAATAGAATTGTCTCCAAAATATATACAAATAACAAAGGCAATTACCAAGAAGAATATTTATTTTAAATATTAAAAAACTTAGGTCATAATAAGATGTAAATTACTCAAAATTCTAATTGTTATACTGATACTCGTACATATATTCCAAAAATCTTCAATGTGAAAGATGAACAGTACAAAATCGTAGCTAAAGGTTTGAGCATCTCCAGTACCATGTCGGAACTCACAATTTTCGCAATTTACAAACTACACACGTTATCAACTTCAAAACATCAAAGGTTCCTAAATGCTTGTGGTCACCCTCCAACTCAGGGGTGATTTTAAATGCAATTTTTTCATACACATTTGGGAAAGAAGAAAAAGTGTTCACTATTTTTAGTTTAATTTTCACTTCATCTTCATGCCAATTATTCGGCAACATTACCATCATTCTCCGTCATATCAAACATAGTACTTCATGAGTCTAACGAACATGGAAGAACAGCGGAATATCACATGTCAGATCAGCAACGCTTCGGCGAGAACGCAGTCTATCTGTGAATATCTTACTGCCTCTTCCAAAGTCAAGCCTCATGCTGAATAAACAAATAAACTGGTCTTAAAAATATTTATTTAGCTGTATGGTACATTTTGTACTAAAATACATGCTATTCACACTAGTCGCATTATAGTTTTACTCTGATTTCCTGTTCTGCTTGTCTAGTACAGTATTTTGTTTCTTTGTAGAGCCTTTTCCTGAAATTATTACGAAGTTGCTATCAAAAGAGTATACAAGTATGATATAATAACTCTGATTTGTTTTTAGGATTCTTCTAAATTTTTAAAGCTCTGTTATTCAAATAATTTGTTGCTGGAAACGAATTTTATATCAAATCTTGCGAAGATACTATAATGTGAATTTAATGGTCAGCAATAATGACCGGTTTGGAATGGGGAGGTGAAATGGAAGCGTGTGGCACACTTAATTTAACAATTTCGCCCGATTCCATACGCCTCTCCAGGTCATGAATAAAATTAGGTTTCCTCGATGTGGTATGCAACTAGAGTAGGACCGCTCCGAACCGGCACGCGCCGGACCCGCTCGCAGGAGCAGACCAAGTCCCTGAGGCCATTGCGTGGCCAGCCGGCGACGGACCCTGCTTATCAGCGCCCCCGCCGCTCCCCTCTCGCCCACGGCGCCTTTTCCGCCGATGCCCCCCCCCCCACGGCGCCTCGCACCCGTTGCCACATCCTCCGCTGCCAACACTGCCTTCAAAATTACTACCACTTTTATTTCCTCTACCCCTTCTAGCGTCATCTAAGCACTCACCTCTTGTTGCCTGACCAGCAAGTCCTCCCTTCTTCTAAGGGATTAGCGTCTTACACCTCCCGCCGCAGCGTTCGAGCGATAAGATTTTGGCCGAACATTCTACCTCTGTCGGGGTGGCGACAGCGCGCTGACTCAAAGTCTGGCGATGGCTGGCGTGACGACAGTGTCACCGCTTGGGGAAGGGGGGGGGGCGGAGGGGAGTCGAAGGGTCTGGTGGCAGCGCGGTTCCGACGGTGGCGGTGGCGGCGGCGGCGCCGGCCGGGGGGCGGGCCGGGCATAAATCCGCGCGGGCCGCCGCAGCCCGCTCGCAGTCGCCCAGAGCAGTAGTCCGAATCGTCAGCAGCCGTAGCCGCCCCGTATCCTCCTCCTCGACCGGTAGCGGCCATGAGCGTTCGCGGCACCTAGGCGGGCACACGGGCAGGCGCACTTACCATCTCAGGCGTCGAACACCTCGTCGGCGGAGCGCAGCGCAGTGGAGCAGAGCGGAGCAGATCTCCTCGTTCGAGGCGCACCTTTTCACTCCATCTCGCTTGAGCCAGCGTCTCGCAGAGGGCCTGCTGCTGTTGCTGCTGCTGCTGTTGCTGCCGACAGCCGAGATGTATCCCGACACCGCGCCCCAATCGCGCCTGGCCGCCGCCCCGACGGTCGCGGAGGTGACGGCGCGGGTGGCGTCGCTGCTGGCGGCGCGGGAGGCGGCCGCCGTCGTGGCCAAGACCACCGACCAGCTCTTCCTCGCCGTCGAGCTGCCCGCGCCCGTCGCCGGCCGGCCCGTCCGCGCCGCCGCCAACGCTGCGGACTCGCCGCCCAGCACCAGCTCCAGCAATAGCCCTTCACCCAGCACCAGCAGCTGCGGTGGCTCCCAGGTGAGTCCTGCCCTTCACTTTAATTCTCCGTTGAGCCGTCTAAAGCGATCTCTAACCATTTTCTGAAGACAATTAAATATTTCTTCATAGAAAACATTTATAACGAAAAACATAGTTAAACTCTAACATTTTAAACTGAAAGTTCTTTAAATAAAATAGTACACGAGAACGAGGAAGTAAATATTTAATTGTCCTTAGAAAATGGCCAAAGAAAACTTATAGATTGCAGTTTACAAGACATATAAAAGAAATTAAATTCCAAAAGTAAACATTGTCGATGTTCTTCTACAATGTATCCTGGAATTCATTTTGCTTATAAAACAAATCTCGTCTTGTTTAATCAATGGCATTAACTCTGCGGAAAGGTTTTAATTGTATGCGTAATAAGACAACCCTAATTTCGTTTGACTCGACTTCGTTTCACTACTCTATGTATTTTATACCCCGGAGTTACCGAATAAGGAGCATGGTATTCCATTATTGTGAGAGATGTGTAAATTGTTAGATTATGGTAACAAAATGTAGACAATTACTTTTCAAGAACTCTCCGAAATTGTATTTGTGTAAAATGGACTCCGTACTTCATTGCGACATCGTAACACTCCCCAAACATCCTTAAAATCGCCTACTGCTGTACATGCCAAAAACGCGTATATTTTTATTTTTGCGGGACACTTTAATAATGAAATGCAATCTTTATTAAATGAAAAGTAGTATTCAGGTCTTTCAATTAAATCTAGAAAGTATAACATAAGATTCTGTAGGTGTATTTTCTTAATCGGTAATTGGTATTTACTATGTACTTGGCTGCCCGGGTGACGCCGCGTCCATGGCGAAAATGCCGACGTTTCGGCCGCCATTCTGCGACCTCCTTCAGGGAGTGATGCTCGCATGGGCGTAAAAAGATCGCAGAATGGCGACCGAAACGTCGGCACCTTCACCATGGACGCGGCGTCACCCGGGCAGCCAAGTAAATATCGACTCCGGCCGCGGAAGCATTAGACTCTCAATCAGTTTGTTTCGTACTTTAAGTCAATTTTGCAGGGCTGCGAAAATAGAGTAATTCGTAAAGTGAAAATTAAGTGAACAAGAAATAAATTATACGATGAAAATTATAGAACGTAGTTTCATAGCTTTTTTTGCGAATGCATATAATTTGTAAAGTGCTGTTCAAATGTTAGAATCTTGCAGTTTAAAGTGCTTAAAGGGTTTTATTAAGTTTTGCAACAAAAGTTGAAACTTCCTCGAACGCGACACTCGCTCATAATGCAAGTTCGTAATCTAATTTTCACGTATTATACTTTTTCCTCATTACTGTCAAATGTTGACCACTTATTTTTGATAATTTTAGCATAGTTAATATTTTAGCAGGGTTGGTCATCTGAAGGTGAGAAAACTTTCATCCTCTCCGCCGCGTTTCGCATGTCGTCAGAGATGCCACGCAGCTTTAATTACGTTGAAGTTTTAATTTCCGAACTTTCAGGTTACACTTTCAAAATTGCTTTAAATTCACCTTAATAGTTAGCATCGTTGCGTTTTTTTTGGCATTCATAAGTTTTATGAAACTCAATCAACTTATTTAATTCGATTGTTTGCATTCAATTTTTAAGAATTGCTGAGTAGCCAGTAAAGTGTCTAGACTTCTCTTAATAAAGTGCACAATCTCTTAAGAAGATGGCAACTTCACTCTCCGCTATCTTAGTTCATGAGGCGTCACTGCATTGATTAATGCCAAGTATTAAAACTTTTGTAGATTTTTCATACATTCACATTTCATTAAAATGAACTTAATGTAGTAGTGAATTACTACATACTATTCTCCTTAAGAAGGGGAAAAACTGTTTACTGGATGGTAGAGAAGAAAACGTTAAATTTACATAGAAATCGAAAGCAATTAGTACATCCCCGGTTAATTGTCCCAACCCAAGTGCATACATTTACCTCCTAAGTAAACAATTCCTTGAGTATCTTCCTAACGCATGCGACGCTACCTCAAGGTCGTTGGTTGTGCAACGGGATATTGGGATAGGACACTCTTTCCTACTTGCCCCGTTCCTCTGGCCCTCAAAGTTAGCGTATAGGTCATTGACGCATGTTTATTTTTGTGATTGAAAATTTGTCGTGTTGGATAAATATTCTCTCGAGGAAATAGACCATTAACAAATCTTTTAGATATTAAAACTAAAAAAGATTATACTGACCGAAAGGGGGGTAGTGACTAAATAAAACGTGCAACTTGCAACTATATTTTTTTTTGTTTATAATCTTGCATTGGAAACGGCTTTCACCGAAACGATGCTATCAAGCGAGTGATTGCACCATTCTGCGTGAATCGTCTCCGCAATGCAAAAAACCTATACATTCACTCAAAAGTTCTCGCTTTCAAGGTAAAGTGGCATCTTCGGAGCAGTTTGCTGTCACCCACATGAAAATATATAAAAATTAAATGGAATCTAACATTTCGATCTAATTAATCAAATGTTCCCCAACATATTTCAAATAACGTAGATACAAAACATCCAAGACGATTTTGTTATTATTAAGGTTCAATTCTCATAGAGATTACATTGTAACTAGTCTTTACGAAAATGAAAAACAAATCTATAACTAAGCTTCAAAAATTGTGAAATATAAAACTAAATTTCCCACTTACAGAAGGGACGGATTGAATAATTGGAAGGTTCAATATGGGATTAGATATTAATAAAAATATTATAGAAGAGTATTCAAAAATCGCTAATTTTAGGTAACTAATGCATACTAGAATTGAACTACATAAAAATATTCGAAAAACTTTCAAAGGTCTCGTGACCTACACTTGAGACAAGCATTTGGATTTTATTTCCTTAAATAATATTCCCTTACTGGTCCACTAACAAAAATTTTAAAGTCCACTTGACTACACTTCAGTAGAAACATTTTAAAATTAAAATTTTAGTTATTTTAAAAAAATTAAATTGTCAACTTGCATAGTTTTGTCTGGTCGCTTTCTGCATTTGGGTAGTGGTTTTCATGTACAAAATCATAAATTTTGGTCCATAGAACGACCCGAGGCCTGGGCCTTCGTCAGAAGGCCTGTGCGCTCCGGCAAACGCTGGCAGCAAGTGCTGGCTGGCTCGCAACCTCGTGTGCCTGGGCACGGCCTTCATGGTGCTGTACATCGGCATGAAGGGGGCGGTCAACCTGCAGAGCTCTGTTAACGCGGAGGGCGGCCGCGGCAACTCGGGCCTCGCGGCCTATTACACTGGCTTCCTCTTCTCCAACTTCTTCCTGCCCACCATTCTCATCCGGTGAGTGGTCGCCCCGCGCTCGGGACGCCGGTCGTCATTTATTGATTTCATAAATTGCCCTTTAGTTTGAATTAGGTCTTCGTAAAACCGTTCCATAATTGGTCTCTCTTAAAAAAACGATAGGACTTGAAATATTACGAAATATTAGGATTTACGATAGGAAATAGTTTTTTGCACGCGGTTCTCGTGGATCGGAACATATAGGTTGGACAAAATTGTCATTTGAGTTTTGGAATTAGTCTCCAAATGTCAATATTTAAAGCGCACAAGTAATTAAAAAGGATCTCTACAAAACATTTAATCTTCCCAAAGTTTGTTTACAGCAAGACAAAGATTTTCTCCATAAAGGTTATCTGTTGTCTTCACTAAGACAGTTTTAGAAATCACTTTTCCTGTAGTTTCTAGCTCGCTTATTAAAATAGTTTTGGTATTAACTTCTTCGGCCGATAAGTTCTAAAACAAGGTCATATAAAACGCACCAAAAAAGGATTACTTTAATGATGCAGGGAAAATGCACTACAATTCTGTTCTCAAATTATTTTTTTTTAGTGATAGCCCACAGAATAGTTACTAATACAACTCTTTTTACTAGAATGGTATTAATATTTGAGAAATACGGGTAAAAATGTAAACTATCAACTATCAACTGTCGCCAGGCAAGTTGTAATTGTCAGGCTATTGCTTGATCAATTTTGCAAAAACCCTAAATGTAAATCTTCAGTTATGTTAAATGTCAGACATCCAATCCATTGAAACGAGGTTCATCTTTGAACATTAAAAATTCAATTAGAACAGTCATCGACAAAGCGAGTTGAATAGACTAAGTTTCACATGATGATGAAATTTCCACCTTCTAAAAACTTCTTCCCGTTAACTTCTTTTTAAAAACGCATACCGAAGTCGTTAAAAACGTAAGTTCTCCGCGAGAGAGGTCGGGTCGCGCGCAACGGGCCGTTTGATTAACTCGTCGGGCGACGGCTGCGCCTGGCGGTAACGACGTGGCCGGTGCGATACGCGGCCGCGCCTGCGGCGACAGTCGTTACGCTCCGTATCGCCCCTCTCGTTAGCGGCCGGGCGTCCTTCGTGGCGGCGGGCGACGCGCACGGGACGAAGTTCGCGTAGACGAACGGCGCGCACCTCGGCTGTGACTCATACGAGGACGCCGCTCCCAGCGCCCTACGCGTGGCGGGCAAACGACTAAAACCTTTTGCCACGTTTGGAATGTACTCCGAATTTAATGCATCGCCAGACCGGTATTCAGTATTACCGGTAGATTATAAAACGAATAGAATTTGAGGGTTTCCCTAACTTGTCATCGCTGACCTGTATCTGCGTCCGCCCTTGACCTGTATCTGCATTACATATTACCGTGGAACAGTATTCTTTCCCTGAAGGCTGCTCCGGAGTACCAGCTGACTAAAAGTTTATAAGATTTTTTTTTTCGATAATAGGTATATCGTGGCCTAAGAAACCTTCCCAAAAAATGCATTAGAAGTGTTGCTGCTACGATCGTAAATGCATTAGCTTCCATATAAAATCTCAAAAGACCAGATTCATTTTTTGAGTTCAAAATCCCTCATTGTACAATATAATACTGTAGAATTTCTTTGTCGGACTCCCCTTTAATTTTCACGTGACAAAAATTTCCTCTTACGTCCCTCGTTAAGAAAATTTTAGTAAATTACAAAAATTCATCTGCCCGTACCTACTAGTTTTCTTTATACTAATGAAATCTAATAGTTTCAACCCTTACAGAGAAATCCTATTTCACCCACAGTAACCCTAGCCAAAGCTTTCCCTCCTGCGTGAAGGCTAACCCGTTGGTTTGCGCAGGTGGGTGGGCTGCAAGGTGACGGTGATCGTGGCCATCCTGGCGTATATCCCGTACATCGCGGCGCAGCTGTTCGCGCGCTTCTACACGCTGGTGCCCGGCGGGCTGCTGGCCGGGCTGGCGGCCGGGCCGCTGTGGGTGTCGCAGGGCACTTACCTCTCGCACATGGCCAGCGTGTACACGGCGCACTCTGGCTCCGGCAGCAACGACGTCCTCATGGCGCGCCTCTTCGGCGCCTTCTACATGCTCTACCAGATGAGCCAAGTGTGGGGCAACCTCCTCTCCTCGGCCGGTGAGACTTTTTCTTCCTTCCTTGCTTTTTTTTTTTTTTTTTGTCAGTTTTGACATTTCGGTTTACACAATTTTGAAAACCATTTACTTCTTGTACTATATTAAAAACTCAAGTAATTAAGACTTGAACACATACTTTTATATGAAACTAAAGTTCCTCCTTAGTAAACCAAAACATTCTATTTTTCTAAATTGTTTTGCTCTTGAAAGCTTTCTTCTAAAGTACTCTTCAGTTTGTACTGTTTATTACGTAATTGTCAAGTCTTGAATCACCCATTCGAAAAGTCTTAAACATACATTGCCAAACACGTAATAAATGTACTTTTACTGGTGGTTCAGTTTTAGAACTAGCCTTGTACAATTCTAACGAATGGTTAAAAACGCGACACTTTCAAATAATCTGGATTATATTTCATATTATTAAATGACTATTTATATGGAAATATATTTTCTACAATTGTTTAATGACACGAGGACGGGGAAGTATCTTTCAGAGAATTTTCTCAAGACATTTTTCGTAAGACGAAATCTTTCTGCTCTAAAATTTTCTCAACACTACTTCATACCGTTTCTCTTTGCAGTTCTTTCCAAGGGCGAAACTGCAAACGTGGTGCTGAACGGTACCAGAGAGATCTGCGGTGCCCACTTCTGCTCCTCCAGCGCCACCAGCACCGACCACCTGGCGCAGAGCAAGCCCGACCCGCACCACATCGCAATCATCACCTTCACCTACCTCGCTTGCATCCTCGTGGCCGCCGCCATCGTCTACTTCGGAGTTGATCCAATACCAAAGTAAGCGAACGCAATGGTAAAATTTGGAATTTAGGAAGAAATGCCATTCTTTAATATGCTTCATAAAAAGAAATTTTCAACCAGTACTTTAAATGAAGTGAGCGAGATAAATTGTGGTATTCCATTAAATAAACAAATCAGAAATGCAAAAGTTTGGAAATGTCTTTCTTCGGATGCCAAATACTCATTTCAATTAATTTCATAGCGTTCCTTAATTGCAAATTTTCAGTAAACTCTTACATAATTTTAAAGAAATTATATATATATATATATATATATATATATATATATATATATATATACTTTTACAACGTAACATTTCTTGCAATACCTTATTAAGAACAACATATAACATTAGAATGTTCAACCTGCTTTTAAAACCGCACGTTACCACATTCTTTAATTATAGTCCTAAGTTTTCATCACAAAACTACATTGGAAATGCTACCGTGGAATTTTTTATATCCTAAAACCTACCTCCTAATATCATTTGGACAATTTAGCATTAAATTTTATGCCCATACGTTAATATTCCTAATCAACAAACTAATGAAGTCTGATTGCAATAGTCTAAATTTTACCACGTTCTTACGATTACAGCTCAGATGTTACGTACATTTCTTCTTTCCAGACCGGTCAGAACAAGAAAAAATAGCACGAGCGGCGCGCCTACAGCAGACAAGACAGACATGCTGACGAGAAACGTCGTCGATCAATGGAAGAGAAGCGGCTGCGAGGAGAAGAACTACGGCGCTTGCGGTGAGCTCCACAGGCCGACGGGGCAGGCCGAGCTCTACAGCAGCATCTCCAGCACGTCGAGCGATTCCACCTCTGGCGGCACCATTGACGTGGAGAGCATCCTCACTGCGTCCAACCGCGCCATCGTGCAGAGCGGAGGTGAGCAGTCTGCATTCGCTCTTCATGCTTGCCTTGTTTTCCTGACTTAAATTTTTTCCCTCTTTCGGTGGAATTAAATTCGAATAAATTTTGCTCTCGCATCTACTCGTAACAAAACTTGGAATACATTGAACCCCATAAAATTCTCAATTTGCTTTAACATTTTTAATTTAATTTCTTCTTCAAATATAGTGTTCTCTATATTACATAAGTTTCACTCTACAAAAAAATGCGTAATTTTCCCAATATTCAACATTGCTGAAATTTTAAAAATTGTAAGTAATTTCTAAATTACTGCGACGAGGGATGTTATTTTGCTGAATATGTTCACGTTAGTTATCAAAAATTTCTTCCCCTGCTGTCCCAGTACAAATACCTTTCTTCCCTTTATCGTGCAGGGTTCGTTCTGAACTTTGAATACCTTCTGGATTTTCCGTAGATCATGAGGCACCACCTGACGATTCCATCATGGCAGTGTTCAGCGCTACGCTTCGCCTCACGACGCGCGTGGACCTTCTACTGCTGGTGCCCATTACCACCTTCCTGGGCGCGGAGGACAGCTTCATAGCCGCAGACTACACAGCGGTAAGTGCTTCTTAGGTAATCTCATTTGAAATTACGGACGAGACATATTTACACTGGGGCAAGACGCTTAAAAAATGCTTAGTTCCGTGCCTGCCCAAATCTTCAGATTTTTTCAGATCAAAAATTTCAACAGGACAAGAATTTGTGAATTCGAAAATGTACTTGTTCGCCAAAATTTGAAATTAACTTTATAAACAAGTTTTGAAAAGTACTAAGCTTCAATGTGTTAAATTCATTGTTCTACAAGAAATTTTGTACGAAATCCCTAGAATGCTTAATACATATATTGTTTTTCATGCACATTAAATATCTACATATTCTTAATAGCAATTCAGTGTAAATGGTATAATTGATGAATTCTACGATGAACCGTTTCACATAAAGTTGAAACAAATTATCCCATTCTTTAAAACTGGCATTGTATGTGCCTTTTCCCCTCTTAACACTAAGTAAAAAAGTTGAGAAAGAAAGAAAAAAAACCTGCATTGCATGATAAATTCACTTTGTTTTTGTTACGATAATACCACCTTCTAAGGTGCAAACTCTGGCCTTCTCACGAACGTATTACGTCGCTTACACACGCGAATCTAAATTCAAATTATAAGAGTTCGAAAGTTAACAAATCCAAAATTGTTACAAACTAAAGGTTTAATTTTCACGAGCTACCTTAAAATTAATAAGATCATTAAAAGTGAATTACTGTATGAATAATTAAATTTGTGAAACTGAACGTCGTGATAGGTAGGTGCGCATTGATTACCAACTTCAAACGTTGTTAAAATCTTTTCGTCCATTAGCTTCTTAACTTCACAGCAAAATTTCATTCGTACATCCACCGGTATTCTTACACCAACATTGTACGGTTCTCTTTACAACACTCATTCCTTTCTTTTGTTTTTTTCTTGTGCAGTCGTACGTGTCGTGCGCGTGGGGAATCCACAACATCGGCTACGTCATGATCTGCTTCGGCGTGATGAGCTCGACGGCGGCGCTGGTGGGCGGGTCGCTGGTGAAGATCACCGGGCGGCTGCCGGTGGTGCTGGGGGCCGCCGTGCTGCAAACGGCGGTGATGACCGCGATGCGCTTGTGGGAACCGGCCCCCAACGACATTCTGCTCTTCTTCGTCATGGCCGGCATGTGGGGCATGACGGACGGCATTTGGCAGGCACAAATCAATGGTAAGATTCATCGATAGCATTTCGTACAGAGTTCGTAAAACCAGTTGGGTTTTTCCTCCTTAGTAGGGAGGGGAGATGGTTACCATGACAATTCTATATTCTACGAATGGATAAACATTGAGATAACTTGACTTCCAGAAAATGAACATAAGTTATGGTTAAATCTTCAAATTCTGCTTATTTTGCATCCTGCACTCGTAATCTTTAAATATCAACTTGAAAATGGCACAAAATTAAGAAAGGTTGGTTCACTGTTCACTTCGTAACCCTTTTGTGTCGGATATCTTAAAAAATAGAATATCCCGAATCGAATATCGCCGAATATCTTAAAATTTATTTTCGTATTCCAGTATTTTTGTTATTAGACAGAACAGCATCTGATGCGGCTACAAAAAATTAAAACTTCTCGGATGTGCAAAATCATAAAAAAATTGGAAACATTATATAGTTCTTGCTAGCATTTCATACTAGTATACTAATCACTTTATTCATGGCAAAATTTCAATGGTCTCTATTGCCAGTCTTCGTATGTTTTCTAAAGTCGTTGAAAACTTTACACCAGTTCTCCCCATAAAACTATTACCAGTATTTTATTTTATATTTTTCTTTCACGCAACTCCAGAGGAATTGTCTAAATTTCAACGTAGTTCTGACTAAAGTAACATGAACATTTATTGTTCTAGAAATATTTCAAAGGTCCGACCTATTCTATTGACTTTTATAAATTACTTTCGAACTATTTTACCTTCTAACGTTATTACCCAAAAATACTAAAAGGAAAGCATTCTACTTCTGTACTCCGCTTCAAATTTCGGGACAAGTTTTGGACGTTTACGACACTTCGGATGGCATGGACAAGGCCTATTCTACCTACTAGGATTCATCCCACCCCCTCTTCCCTGCAGCTGTATAACAAACAGGCGGTTGGTCACGGGCTGTTTGATTCAGCGCGGTTACGCGCCGCGGGTCGTTAGATCTACTCCTTCCTCTGTCCTCTTCCTCCTCCTCCTCTCCCCCCCCCGACGCTCTCCTTCCCCCTCCCTCCCACACCAACACTGCGCCCTTGGCGATGGCCATTGCGCTTTTTGCCTCATCAGCGTGCGACAAAACGCTTCCCACTCTCTGTACCTCCCGTCCGCCGGCATGTGGTTCCTGTTCTACAGTGCGTCGAAGTCTCCGGATGCGACAATACTGAAACGTACAAAAGTTTAGTTTTGTAAGTGGAGGCATGTCCGGGACAAACTACATAATGCGATGGTAGTCACCATAACAAGTTAATCAAGACAACTCAATAGCCTAGACATTGGAATTGACTAGGAAAGAGTTCAAGTGCAATGTTCAGAAAATATGAAATTTCAAAAAAAACTTCCAAATGTATCACTTCAGAGAGATAATGGTAATGCGATTTATCTTGGAGTACATAAAACTAAAAATGTGAATCTGAATATCCAGTTGGTAAAATCATCCTAAAACTTGTTTTATACATTCGATTCCTTTCTTTACAGCCATGTACGGAGTTCTTTTCGTTGGCGAAGAAGCGGCAGCCTACAGCAACTTCCGCCTGTGGGAGGGCGTAGGGTACATTCTTGCCTATAGCTACAGCTCCTTCCTCTGCACCAGTCAAAAACTCTACATCCTGATGGCTCTCTTGGCAGTTGGCATTACTGGCTACATAATGGGTGAAGTGCGTGAAAAGAATCGCACAAAGCCTCCTGAAAATTGACACTTGCTACTGGTTTACAAAAGCACTCCTGCGCCGTCCATCTCGCCCCCCCCCCTGCAACAAATCAAGATCCCCCCCACTCTCACTAATCTGACATGCAATTCTAAAGCGCTGCGATGACGTCATCTCATTTTCACTTGCTAAAACATAGTGCTAGACTTCAATCTTATTTTTAGCCCAAAATCTGTGCTTTTAAGATATTTTTCTATTTTTATTTATTTTCTTGAAGATTTGAGCCTACGACGTCTTGGGTATTGATGTACGCATGTAATGTGTTCTTGTGAAAATGAGATGAATACATAAAAAACAGTTCAGTGTTCAAATGTTCTCCAAAAATTGCAGATTTCACTTGTTTATCAGCAAATTATACATTAATACATTATATGTAAATATTTAACGGAATTTTAAATTTACATGGATTTTTTTAAAGGTGTAATTAGAGGTTGCATGTTTACCTTGCGTTCCTCTATTTCACATGATTATTGCTTTATTTTATAATATGAAATGTTGAGAGTTCAGACTTCATAATGATTCCTCAGTATGAAATACCATGGAGAAGTCTTAGTAACTACCCCTGTATAAAAGTTAAAAATGTGCCTTAAACAATAGTTTTTGGACTCCTTAACTTTAAATGTATGAATAAGTTTGTGTTCTTTCAAACGGTGAAGAATCTTCATGATTTTTTTAGTTGTACATAGCTCTGCTAAATATAATTGTAATGGCAATTATTTTGGAACTTATTTGTCACTGATATGTAAAAAAATAGTAAAATATTTGTGATTTCTTGTGATTCTTGACTAACTCATTCCTGAATATTCATATTCCCATTTCCGTAAATTGTTATAGTTTTAACAGTTTACAAATCCTACCAATAATGGGGTCAAGGGGCCAAAAACCTCGTATCTCCGTATATTCTTTAATTTTTTAGAAACTAAGTGCCTTTCCGTATCAAACATTCTAAACACCGATCTGTAATTCCAAGAATGTTTCATGTTTTCAACAAGTTTATTTCACTTTCTAGTTTAAACTATCAGTATTCCGTACGGCGAAAAGTATGCAGGGCAAGTTTTGACTCCAGGATTCCTGTTCCAAATTAGTTTAATCATGAATAAAGGTACAAGGTAAAAGAAAAAGGGTGTTTGACTACGTTTTGAAAACTTTCTCGAGTAAATAAACTCTATTCCATTGACAAACTGTTTATAAATTTGATTTTTGACGTATTGGTAACAAAATATCAACACCCACGTTCTGTCTCTACTACTGTGGTATCAAGGAGCTGAACAAAACGTGCGTATGACACATTTACAATCCGGAAACAAAACTAAGGTTTTTGTTCAAAGAAACGGGATAAACTGGACGACAAACCTGGTCGGCATTGAGGTCATTGACCTAGAAGGTGAAGTACATTTGTTATAGACACATTTACAGCAGTTATGCCGTTTACACAATATAGGCGGCAACTAATGCATTTGTATTAAAATGTTTCCTTTTTAGGTGGCATATGGTTTTCTTCCATGTACAACAAGATAGTGATTTTTTTAGGAATGGAAAATAGGAAGGGATATAGTTATAAAAGGCACCGTGCGTTTAAATAAATGCTACACATTACATTGGGAAAGAAAAGGCGAAGCTATATTTAAACAAAATCGAAGATCCCTAAAATTAATATCTTCAAATGTTAAGACCAGGTTGTTTTTTAACGAAATTTAGAATTGAACTTTACAATACGTCTATATTACATCATTCTCCCGGATCATCTAAATATTTGAATGAAGCTGAAGTCGAATTTGGATTTGACGGATTCTAAAAAATACGCAGGTCCGCCTAAGTTTGTTTGTGGTGGTATTGCGGATGTTTCTGGCAAAGGAATAAAATCAGATTAAAGATTTCAATTTTTTAAAAATAATTGTTAACATCACTTCTTGAAAGAATGAATTTTGTACTTTAAAGTAGGACATATTTTCTGTTTTAAAAAAATACTGATTATATATAAAGAATGAAATATATATTTTCCTATGTATTGATGACTCACTTTCTCATGCTTCTTGTTACTCTTGTTAGTGCTTCTCTCTAGTGGCGCCTTAAAGAACCAAACTCGCTGGCAGGGTAATTGTCAAACGGCCTATAGGGAGACAGGAACCGTCAGGATTGGTTATTCAAACAGCTACATCATTGTTACCACGTGCTCCCAATGACGTATAAAGCGGGGTTTGGAAAGTACTTTTTCCAGTTCACCTATGCTCTTTTGTTTGAAGTGCTTTGCTATTGTTTCTTAGATTACAATTGTGTTCATTTAATTAAAAAAACCAGTAGTTTTTGCTATTGAAATTACAAAAAAATTCTCAAAAACCACTGTAAATTTTGTCCACTTATGCAATACGCAACGGTAAGCAGTATAGTGCTAGTTTCATATTCGAGTATTGCTTCTTTTTTTTTTCAGAAATTGCCAAAAACATTTCAAAACTACAAACAACAAAACTACAAAATTGAAGATAGATTTTTCAACAGACAAAGCCTATTGTACAAAATAAGCTGTTTAAAAAAGGTCATGAACTTTTTTTTAAAGAATACTTTTTGCGTAATCTCTCTTGAAATTAATGAAATATATACATGTTTCACACCAACTACTGCGCACGAGAAAAATTAAAAGAATGATATAAAAAATATTTCATTTTAATTATAATTTCCTATTGAAAATTCCAATATTCATTATTTTTCCTTTCTCGCTTCTTTACTTTTTATTCAACGTATTCTCAATGTATTGATGTATTTCTTCATAAGCAATCCGCACAGCTTAATTGAAATTTCAAAACAATGCCGCATCGATTGAGAAACACTTGTGTAGCACTCGTTTATTTTATCTTCTTTTCTCTTCCGAGAAACTATGGACGCTGTATTTGTTGAAAAGCAATGTTGTTTATCGTATCTGAAATGTGGATGACGAAATATTATCTTACGACGAAAGGCATCTCAAGAAGATTCGTAATTATTTTCATGTCCATTGCAAATATTCTAATAACTGTATTGATATTATTAGTCAAGCCAATGCAAATAGTTTTGACAACGCTGCGCTGGCAACTTACTTCTTGGTTGAATTAAACCTTCTGAAATAATGGCTGAGTTGTTAGAAGCGCAGAAAATGCAATATTTTAATATTACGTAGCTGTTTCAAATAACGCGAGAAAGTATGTGCTGGTGTAACACCACTAGTTACGTTTTCTCAGCTAAAATAAAAGTGTGTATAGTAAATAACATTTGGATGCACGAAAAATAAATTTTTATTTTGTTAGATTATTTTTCAAAAGAACTACTTACTTGAGAAAATATAAGAAAAAAAATCTTGCCGGTCAAAATGACCGCTCCGGCCCTTCTAGATATGCCAGACCGTCGGCCCTCGTGGTGTTAAAAGTACGCAAAATTAGGAACTTACTTCTTACTTACGGTTGATCATATTTTTCGGTAGCGCTGACTCAGTACCTAACGTTGCTGACTCTATTGCTTCTAAAAATATTTATTTAATTTCCTGCTAAAATGAGAAGGCAGATATCTTCTATTAAATAATGATATGGTTATCATTTTAGCTGTGTCACGAAAGAGACTGAAAGCAATAGCATGTATGAAGAATGTACCGTTGACATCATGTTGTGTTCAGCGAACATCTTATCGTTTCAAATGTGCGCTGAAAGACAGTAGGATGTCCCACACAAAATATTTTGGGATGGTACATGATTGTTCATCCCAAGCATCCGAAAGAAAGTATTTTTTAGTGCGAATTCTAATTTTCATGGGAATGTAGAAGACGTGGAAAAATTATTCTTAAATTTTGAGTTTTTAATGAACTTAGTTCAAATTCAGATGTAAAAACTTTTAGCAAAGTGTGTAAGTAATAAAAATTTGTTATTTATTGCAATTATTGTTCATCTTGATAGTCACGTGATACAGAATGGCACAGACTTTTCCGTGTTAGATTTTTATTTCCTTTGGTCTCGGCTAGCTATTCGGACTTACTACAAAGTCTTCCCAGCTGCCATCTATCGCCCCTTAAAGTACAATTTTTTTAAAAAAATTCTTAATTTTTCGATTTCCTAACTGTAGAGAGGAAATATTATTTTAAGATTATTAAAGAACAGTATAACCTCATCCTGAATGTCAATTTTCTTTCAAAAATTTGGAGTCTTTTTTTAAAAAAAACATGCTGGCGTTTAAGCACAATTACCCTGCTGGCGATTAAGCACTACTGTAAATACGAAATTTAAAGCTCTTTTTCATAGAAAATTTTTGAGTTTTTGAAATTCTACCTAAAGTCATTTAAAGTACTTTAACTCACAAATAGAATAGTGCTTACAAATCGCTGGAAATGTGCACATGAACGGCGTGAGAGATACTTCAGAAATGTACATTTGTGTAATTTGTGTAAACAAAAAATTACATCGAAATGAACTTTACGTTATATTAAAGAGTGGAACTAGCACTATCCGTACGATATGACCGCAGAAAATATTTGGATCCGTTTTTAAAAAAATTGCGTTTTAGCGTTTCTGAAAATGAGGAATTTTGAGTTGGTTTTCACAGAAAATGGTTGGGTTTTCGAAAAACTTCATATGACTTTATGTACTCATGTACTCATAAAACCAATGATGTGAACAAATTGCAGCTAATATAAATACTCGTAATAGGAACATAAGACAAGTCAAGAAAATTCATTTTTGTAATTTTTTAAAACAACAGAATAATAGAACAATATAGCGTTTATGTCATCTTATAGAGTACATTTATCCCTATCAAAAGTTTAAGAAAACAATGTGGAGCCATTTCTGAGAAAATCTTGCTTTTGTATTTTTTTAAAATTGCACATATTTCACGCAATATTGTGCGAAAACTACAAAAATTGTTGGACAATGTACATAACCTTAATGAAAGAACTAATTATGGACAACAAATTTTATTCACAGGAATAATCTCTATCTTTAATTATGTAATTGTAGGAAGACACCGAAAAAAATTCATAATTTTGAAAATTTCGAATATTCCGAGTTAACCGTGAAAATCGGACCTATGTCACTTTTATAAGTGTCTATTGTTACTCTCTTTTTTCAAGAAATTTATAGAAAAAAATTGGAGCCGTTTTTGAAAAAACAATCATAATGACCAGCGGGCTTCATGTAAATCAGCTTCAAATTTTAAAGAATGATTTTCAAAATCTCACCGTTTCGACTCAAGGCAGACGGGTGTATTCAATTTGAAAATAACCTACGTATAGTTTAGGTGCTAGTAGTGTTCACAGACGGACGGACGGACAAACGAACGTTTTGCTGTCAATTGAGTTTTTGATATAAAGGACCCACGAAACAGGGATTCTATCTACACTACGTGTTAGAGTTTTTTCTGAATTTAGCAGCTGGATATATTCACTTTTTCGTTATCAGAGCCCCGCAATGATATTTTTTCTTCCGAAAATCGGGTGTTGTCCGGTCATTTTAATTAAGGATTCTCCTCCGCCTTTGTGAAAAGTTAGAGTTATCATCCAGACTTTCCCTGACTCTGCAGGCAATGTAAGAACGGTACAGGTCAAAACAGCGTCGGGAACGATAACAACGCCGATATAAAAATCATGTATTTTACAAAATGAACCTTAATGCTGATTCTAGTAATCCCTCAAGGGGCATATCGATTCTCAGATATTTGCTACGGGCCTTGGCGTTCCCGGGGACCTGAGACTACCCGAGTCGCCCAAGATTTTCTGTTTGCCATTTCCTTTGTTTTTACTTCATAAAATAAAAATAGAATTAG